AGTGGCAAAATGCACATTGTCTCAGGTATGCAAGGTCCCGGGGCAATTTAGACACTCTTTCAAGATAAATTTTAAAAATTAAATAAATAAATAAATAAATAAATGGCTGGCGCTATAGCTCAGTGTAAAGTCCCTGAGTTCAATCTCCAGTATTTTTTTTAAATTAAATGCCCAGATGTTAAAATAGGAAAAAAATCTAGACCTTGGGCATGGCAATGATTCTTCAGCTACAACACCAAAGGTGCAATCCATGAAAGAAATAAAAGATAACACAGATTCCATTAAAATTAAAAACTTCTGTTCTGTGAAAGATAATGTCAGATTGTGAAGATTGGGAAAAACCTACAGATTGGGAAAAAACATTTGCAAGAGACACTTCTCATAAAAGATTATTATCAAAATATATAAAGAACTCAAACTCAACAATAAAAAGACTGAGGGTCAGGGATTTAGCTCAGTGGTTCTGCCACCTACCCTGTAAGTGCAAGGACCCAAGTTTGATCCCTGGTACAGAAAATAAAATAAAATAAAATAAAATGACTGATGATTGAGTTAGGAAAGTGGACCAAAGACTTTTTTAAACATTTTACCAAAGATGATTTAATAGTAGTAAAGAAGCATATGAAAAGATGTTCCACATCGTATGTAAGGGAAACACAAATTTAAAAAATAATGGGGTATCAATACACGCCAATTATAGTGGTCAAAATCTAGACCACCACCAACACCAAATGCTGGTGAGCCTGCGGACCAAAAGGAGCTCTCATTCTTTGCATGTGTAAACACAAAATGGTACAGCCGGGCCGGGGATTTAGCTCAGTGGTTCCGGTGCCTGCCTTGCAAGCGCAAGGTCCCGAGTTCAATCCCCAGTACCACACACACAAAAAAGGTACAGCCACTTTGGAAGACAGTTGAAGCAGTTTCATATAAAATGAAACAAATTTTCAATATGATTTTACAAGGGCAATACTTAGCATTTACTCAAAGGACTGGAAAATGAATGTTCACACACAAAAAACCCTACACATAGATATTTATAGCAGTTTTATTCACAATTAACAAAACTTGGAAGCAACACAATGTCCTTCAGCAGGTGAAAGGATAAACCAACAGTTGTACGTACAGACAATTTATGTACAGTAGTTCAGAGCTAAAAAGTCACAGAGAAGCCCTAAATGTATATTACGAAGTGGAAGAAGCTAATACGAAAAAGTTGCAACAGGGGTGGGGACACAGCTCAGCAGTGCAGCACCTGACTGAAAAAGTTACTGGCGGTATGTTTCCAATTACAGGACATTTTTGAAAAGACAAAACTTGGGAAACAGTCAAATGACCAGTATTTGTTACAGGCTTATGAAGGGAGTAGGAATGAATAGGCAAAGTAGAAAAACCGTTTTAGGGCAATGAAAATACTCTGTGTGATACTGTAATGACGGATACATGTCATTATACATTTGTCCAAACACTACAAGTGAGTCCAAGCTATGGAATCTGGGTAAGTATGAATCACGTATCACTATGAAGGGGAATGCTGACCATGGGGAAGCTATGTATATGTGAAGACAGGGGCATATGAGAAATCTCTGTACCTTCTTCTCAGTTTTGCTGTGAATCTAAAATAACTCTAGAAAAATAGTCTTTACCAAAAAGGGAGAGAAGACAGATCTCAAATGAATAACTGAATCATTTCCAACTCAATATACTAAAAAAAGAAGAGCAAACTAAACCTAACAAAAGGAAGGAAATAAAGATTACAGCAGAAAATAATGAAACAGAATAGAAAAATACAGGAAATAAATGAAACTAAAAGTTCATTGAAAAAAATAAACAAAATTGACAAACCCTTACCTAGGTTAATAAAAAAAAGAGAAGGCTCAAATTATTAAAATTAAAAATGAAAGAGGATGTCTCACAAGCATAAGGTCCCGAGTTCGATCCCCGGTACAAAAAAAAAAAAATGAAAGAGGATATCACTATTAACCATACATACAAAAGTATTATAAGGGAATGGTATGAGCAAGTATATGACAGCAAGTTTGATAACTTAGATGAAATGTGAAGTACCTGGAAAGACACACACTATCAAAACTTAACTGAAAAACGAACAGAAGGCCTGGGGATTTAGCTCAGTGGTTTTGCTGCCTGCCTCGTAAGCACAAGGAATGGAGTTCGATCCCCGGTACCAAAAAAAACCCCAAAACAAAACAGAAGAATCTGAGTAGAACTATAATAAGAAAAGAGATTGAATCAATAATTTTAAAACTTCCCACAAAGAAAGATAGCTTCCCTAGTGAATTCTACCAAACACTGAAAGAATTCCAAAACTTTACAAACCCTTTGAAAAGTCAGAACAGGAAGGACACTCTCCAATTCATTCTATGAGCCCAGTATTATCCCAATACTAATCAGATAAAGGAACTAACAGAAAATAAAATGATAGACAAAAATCTATCCTAGACACACAAATCCTCAACAAAATACAAATCAAATCCAGTGAAATATAAGGGATTATATATCATTACTACACAGGACTTATCCTGAAATGCAAGGTTGGATTAACATCAAAAAATCAATGATGTATCAACAGTAGAGAGAACAATAAACACAGCTCTTTTCAATTGCTGCAAAAAAAGAATCTACAAAATCCAACCACTCTTCTTTGATAAACACTAAAAAAAATTAAGACTAGGGGAAAGTCCTTAATTTTTTTTTTTTTTTTTTGGTACCAGGGATCGAACTCGAGTCCATGCGCTTGCGCAGCAGGCAGTGAAACCACTGAGCTAAATCCCAGGCCAGAAAGTCCTTAATTTGATAGTGAAAACTACAGCTAGTATCCAACAATAATGAAAGACTGTTATCAGTATGATCAGGAACAAAACAAGGATGTCTGCACTGGGCACTCATACTTAGCATTACAGTAGAGGTTCTAGCCAAAGGAGTAAGTCAATGAAACAAATAAAAGGCATACAGCCTGGAAAAGGAACAATAAAACTGTCTCTGTACATGACGTAATCTTATGTACAGAAAGTCCTAAAGAATGACCAAACAACAAAAGCAAGAGAGTAAGGTTAGCAAGGTTACAAGACAGAAGACCACTGTAAAAAGAATTATACTTTACACACTAGCAGTGGACAATGTGAAAAGGAAACAAACAGCCTTCCATTTATAACACCAAAAAATACTTAAAAATTAATTTTAAAAAAAGAAGTGCAAAACTTCTTCAAAATACAAAACACTGCTGAAAGATTTTTAAAAAGACTCAAATAAAAGGATAGACATTTCACATTCATGGTTCATTAAGACTTCATGTTGTTAAAATGGTACTAGGGTATTTCTCCAATTGATCTACACATCCAACCTAATCCCTGTCAACACCCTATATGACTTTATTGATGAAACTGACAAACCAATCCTAAAATTCATATGGAAAGTTAAGGAATGCAGAAGAGCCTAAACAATCTTGGAAATGAGCAACAAAACCGGAGGACTCACATTTCTTGAATTCAAAGCTCACGACAATGCTATTATAATCAAGACCGAAAGGAAGCCATTATACTTACCATAAACTGAGTTTTGACAAAGATGCCAGGATAATTCAGTGAGAAAAAAGACAGTCTTGTGGGTTTTTTCTTCAACAAATGGTACTGAGACAACTTGATATCTACGCAGAAAACACTGACGGTGGAACCCTACCTCACATCATATACAAATTAACTCAAAATGGATCAAATATATACCATCAGGACAGTGTATAAGCAACCCATGGAATTGAAAAAACTATTTGCAAATTATATATCCAATATCATATATTTTTTTATATGCAGGGTATATTACAAACTTAAAACAATAATAAAAATAATTCAATTTAAAAACGATCCAAAGAGCTATTTCTCCAAAGATATACAAATTATCAACAAAGCATGTAAAGATGCTCAGTATCAATAGTTATTAGGGAATGGAATTAGAGAAACCCCGAGGTACTACTACTCAACATCTACTAGGAGGGGCATACTTAAAAAACAAGAACAAGAGTTAACAAGGATGTAAAGAAAACAAACACTCAGAAATTGCTGGTGCAAATGTAAAATGGTATGACCACTGTGGAAGATGGTCTGGCAGTCTCTCAGTAGGTTAAATATAAACCATCATATAACCCAGCAATTCCACTCCTACAGAAATGAAAATATATGTCCAGATGAAAACTTGTACACAAATGCTCAAAGCAGCATTATTCATTACAGTCAAAGTGTAGAAACCCAAATGTCTATCAACTGTTAGCAAATAAAATACAATGCACCCCACAATGGAAAATTATTCAGCTATAAAAGGAATAAATTAGGGCCGGGGATTTAGCTCAGTGGCACCATGCCTGCCTCACAAGCACAAGGTCCCGAGTTCTATCCCCGGTACAAAAAAAAAAAAAAAAGGAATAAATTCTGAACCAGGCTACTGAGGAGAAGAAGCCACAAACAGCAAAATGTTCTAAAATTGGTCATGTTGATGACTGCACAATGTAAATATACCAAACACCACTGGATTATAAACTTTATATGAGCTAAGCATATAAATGTTAACTAGGTTTCAAAAAAGCTGCCGTATTATTAAACATCAGAGACCTTCAAGAAGCCTCTGAGCTACAGTGTCCCAGCTGGGGTAGTGCAGGAGGGAGGTGACAGCACAGGAGATGCCCTACAGATCAGCTGGCCCCTCTTCACAGTACTTCACATAGCCACATGCCTCAGCATCTTCAGAATCGTAAACAGCAGCATCTGCCTCTCAGGCGGCTGTACATGTTACAGGAAACAATTCCCAGACAGCCCTGTGCCTGGAAACTGGGCCCAGAGGCTGAGTACCTGATGAGCCTGGGCATCCTGCACCTCAGGGAACAAACCCACAAGGGAGAGCAGTGATAAGGCAAAGGAGCACAGAAAGGGAAGGAGAGGGCTGAAGAGAGGACAGTGGTACCTTCCAAACATTCTGGCAGAAAATCCCCAAAGTACCTGCTGATGTTGGCTGTTTCTTTCACTCAGGCTTCTGGAAGCTGCAGCTTCATTTCCCTTTCTGGTGACCTCCTCTATTCGCTCTTCACACTGCTCTTTCACCTCTTTCATCTGGTTGATACACTGGTTCCTTTGATGAAAGAAGGCAAAAGAAAGGACAAATATTTACAAATGTGACTATGTGCCATGTTACGTCCCTGTCAGACTCTGAAATCCACTTCAGTGAGGAACACACACCTTCCCTTTCCTGCTTCAGGAACTTTATCTGAAGAGGTAGCTTGAACCAATGTGCCTGCTCTCACATATTACTAAGGACAAAAACAAAAAAACTGCAGCTAAATGAAACCCACTAAAGATCTGTCACATTGCTCTAAAATAGGTGAACTTCACTGATGACAAAAAAAAAATTTAAATACAATCTGTAGAATAAAAAAAATAGATTTGGTCTTTGTCACTGACTACTACTGACAGTTCTGAAAGCACTGGAATTTGCTGAGTGCAGGAATGTTTGGTTATTCACAAAGAGCTTCCATGGACCAGGCCTGAGCATAAGCAGTGACTCACAAAGACAGGTGGACTGCATGTGGACGGTTTCAGGATGGGGCTGGTTGACAGGGGAACCAACCACGGGAATAGAGGGTTGGAACCTTCAGCTTTACTCTGTCCAGGGAGGGGACTGAGTCCAATCACACGGTCAGTGATTTAATCAATCATGCCTACATAATGTGAACCAGATAGACTCTGGACTGCAAGGTGCGGTGAACTCCCTGACTGGTGAGGTTTTTTTTCTTTTTTAATATCCTTTTATTGGTACATTTTAGGTATACAATATAATGACATTCATCATTCGAGATTTGCACCTTTACATAGTCTCTCTTGGTTCTTATTTTTTCCCCGTTTCCCTGCCCTCCCTTCAACCCCTCCATCCCTCCCTATTGACAAAGACTTTGTTTCCATTTTTTCCATTTTCTCATATTAATTCCATTCCCTTCTATCCTTTCCCCTACCCCTCCCACTTCCCCCTCCCCTTTGCCCCTTTTCTTCCTATTTCACATTATCTATTATACCTTTTAGTCCTTATT